TTGTTTTATATTAGTGCAGCACAAATCCAAAATTATTACATGTGTCTGTTGGATTTGCTGGGTCATCTTTTATTACAGAATTAGAACAACAGATCCAGGAAGTTACAGATGGAAGAGTCCTGTCAGATTATTCTGTCCATTGCAGAATTTTTTATTGAAGTGAATTTGCTAATCTAGTGTATAATTTAGCTTTGAGTCCCAAGAAACAACATTTCCATCACTTCCCTTCGGAGACTATTCCACAGACTAATGGAGCTAACGGTCAAAAAGATTTTTCATGATATTCATCCTAAATTTATCTTTTTAATGTGCACCTTTATTCTTTCTTATAACCTTGTGTGTGTCTGTCCTTTCTATTCTTAGTGTTTACAGTCTTCAAATATTTATAGGCTACAGAAACAGAGAAATTAGAGACATTTTTCATCTCTAAATATTAAATGACAGGATTTTCCAGGGTTGTGGGGTTTTTTTACTTGTTAGCTTTTTGTTTAACTAAATGATACTGCAGCTGTTAGCTGCAATGTCTGGATTTAAGAGATTTTTGACTCTCTTTACAAACTCATTCAATACAAAAAGAATAAAAAGAGTGATAGTTCAGGATTGTCTGCTGTTTGAAATTGTGTCCTATGATATATTGTATTGTACGGTACCAAGTAATGGTGGAGCACTATTACATGACTGCTGCTCCTTTGTGAACCAAATTAAAAACAAGCTGGCTATCTCATGAGGTTATCTTAGTGAGCAACATCTTAAGTAAACACAATTTCCCTCCTGCATGTAACCTTCAAATTCCAGTTCCCACTTTTATTTCAAAACCCAATAAAATTAACGGTCTTCTAAATCTGTTTTTCCCAATAGAAATAAATAACGAATCTACAAAATGTTGGTCCCAGCTGTGCGTTGCGTGGTATAGTTAATGTAGTGGCAGAACAGTTTGGACACAACCATTCTTGCTCTAAGCAAGCTAGTAGTGCAGGGACACTGAGATGGAGCTGTTAGGATTATTTGTGAATACATAATAAGGCCTTGTGCCTGCTTCCTCTCCTGTGTGTGTGTGTGTGTGTGTGTGTTTGTGTGTTAAGTATACTCCCTTCATATCCATAGCACACTGGATAGTTCATTACAGGTAATAGCATCTCTGTTTTCAAAAAAAACAGATGGAAGAATGTTCAGATAATCGAGTGAACCTGTAGGCTGAATATTCTTAGATGCTTTAACACAGCAATCTCTTCAAAAGTAGACTTTTCCTGATTGTTTTTCTATCAGAATCCTTCCCCCGGTTTGTCCAATTTACCTGATGGGTAGGTATAACAGGCAGGTAGTAAAATATTGTAGATATGGTTAAAATGGCCCCCTAACTTCTCTGAACCAATTTAGCGCATCTCTAGTTTAGTCTCTTACACCTTTTATTCTCTTACTTGTGCACAAAAGGAAATCTTAGTTAAGTAATTGATTGGCAGACTAGGGTGTAACAGTTAGAGCTAGCTCCCTAGTAGTTTCTTAATTGCAGCTTATTATAAATAGATGGCCTGTCAGTTTCTTGAAGATATCTGATCGCTGTGCAACATTTCCTTGCGTTTTGGCTGCCAAAAAAGCTAACCTTTGCCATGTTTAACAGATAGCACCTAATGTTTTTCACTTCCTTTCCCAAGCAGGTGTTTTTACTTGTCTGCAACTCATCCTGTCTTAGTCCCTTTATAGCTTATTACATATTATCATACACGATACATCTAGCTTTATAGTTCTAGGAAATATAAATATTTATCGAAGGACCTTTTCAAAGTAGCTTTTTGAAATATTTTATTGCTCTTTCAGTTTCTGTCCAGTGAGTGGGGCCGTTGTCTGTAAGTGGTGGCTGCCATTTTATTAATATTTTCCGGTGGGAGCCCAGTTTAAGATGCAGATTCGGATTCAAAGAATAGTTTTAATCACTTGAAAACCCTGGAAATGTTGAGCAATTTTAAATTCTGAAGTAAATTCTATAATTGAAAAAACTTGATTTCATTTGCAGTTAGTTAACCAGTTAGCATAAATGTTTTATGTTTAAAAAAAAAAGTATTTCCCATAAGCAGTTTCTAAATGGTGGTTTTCGTGGCTTTCAGGTGGTCCTATTCAGTATCATCTCATCAAGATGGCATATTCCTGTTGCACTGACAATTAGTTATGTAGATCACTTAACTAAAATCTTTAGAGTTTTGCTCTTCTTTGCATTTAGATGTAAAGGCTTGAATATCTCTCATTACACTTGGATTTTCTTTTGAATTGCAGCTTCTGTTTCCTTTGCTACTTCTGTGATAGAGAAGAATATATCTGGACATCTCTGTTTATATTTGGACCTCTGAGTCAGCCATTCAAAAACATGTAGTGTGAAAGATCAGTTACATACTATGTACATCAGCCACTGCCTCTGCCATTCTGATTCTTTTAAAACAAAACAAAAAGCCTCAGAAGAGTAGCATCCCCCTTCCCCTGGTCTATTTTAGTTTGTTTGTCAAAACGCAGGAGAATATCATCAAGCACATTTGTGTTTGGTTGCTATTTGGATCTGTATTGCTGTGCACGGCTTTTTTAAAATTAATTTTGTCGCAAATCGCATGCCATGAAATAAGGTAATAATTATATCTATGCATATCACAAAGCACTATGGTATATATTCAGAAGAGGAAATAGAAAGAGGGAAAGAGTAAAGTTGAATGGATTACAATAGGAGCACTAATGGTAAGGTCATAAAACTTAAGAAAGGAGGGGAGGAGGAGGAATCATATTGTGAATTGCATAAAACACTTTTTGCTCAATGTAAATTATAGTTTAGAAAAAAATTCTGCTTGAAATACATCGTAGATGGTGTTGCCAGGATACTTCCTGATCATGTTAATTAAACTGTCCTGCAGATATAGCTTAATTAGCGTATAATTTGCATATTGGACACAATGGTGCATGTTGCTAAAGAAAGCTCCTCTTCTACTAATAGACCATTGTATACAGATACATTTTCAAGGGGGGAAAAGTCTTTAAACATAACTATATTTTCTTTTTGCAACAATATGATTAAGATCTGTGCTAATGAACTGATATATATCTAAACCTGTGTAGTAAGATGGTATTTTATGCCAGCTCCAGTACATTCTTTACCAGATCCCCCTTTGAGGGCTGATTCTGATAGCTTTCCTCTTGTCCAATAGTACCTTATTTCATGAGACGCCCCATTGCTTACAGTGGTACTACTTGTGGAGTAAGGTACTAATCAAGAGCCAGATTCTGTCTCTCTTGCTCATTTTGAAGATATGATTATCTACAGTATTGATGCTATAGTTCACAACTCTCCCAGATCCCCTAGGACAGTCCCGCAATTAAGCATGGCTGTGCTGCTCATTTGGGGCTCCCTTCTGTGGAGTTAACTCCGCAGCACCTCTGGATCAGCTTGCCATGTCTGCCTGAAGTGACCTAGTGGGGAGCTGAGTACTGATCAGAAGGCAGTTCCTTGCTCTGCCTACCTGTGGAGAATGCTTTTCTGATTGGCGTTCTGTGGCCTACTCTGCCCAGATGCTTCAGCAGTGGGGATCAAATGCTGCAGGAGCGGTTCCACTGTGCTGACAGAGGCAGCCAGGACAAAGGAGGAATGAGAGAAGAACCGATGGGGCAGCGAGCATGCTTGCAGATGGAGGAAAAAAGAGCAAGGGAGTCATTGAGAAGAAGGGGACAAGGAAGGACCGGGAACAGGAGGGAAAACAGAAAGACAATGGGAGAGAGGAGTTCAGAAATGGTGGGGAGGAGAAAAATGACAATCAAAATAGTGTGTGTGTGTGTGTGTGTGTGTGTGTGTGTGTGTGTGTGTA